TTAAACCGAAACCATTGTGTTGAGGTTATCAATCTCAATTGATTTCATCAAGGAATTAAGATATTAAATGCTACTATCAAGTCAGTATATGACGTTGTTCTATACTTGACTAATAATAGGGGTTATTAATGAACGGTCGTTGTTAATAACTAACCTCGATGAATTGGATATACTCCTCGATTGAGTATTCGAAAGGAGATAAGTTATAGATATAACAATGATCGACTAAAATATATCAACAAGTGGAAAGTAGCAATGCCAAGTCCCTTTTATTTTTGAATTAAATCTCATATAAGTCGTTCATCTTCGTGTTTAATTAAATTAAATCACTCAATCCCAAAACCCCCATTATTTACTAGTTTTACTAAAAAGAGAATTATTCTTTTCCCTGTGGATACGAACTCTACTACGCTATACTACGTATAAGTGTTAATATTGAATTTAGAGTTTTTTCCTAAAAGAGGGTAGTCTCCAATCTTATTTCCCAATTAAGGGTACTTTTAAACTTATTTACCAAATGAGGGTAGTTTTTTCCTTGTCATCCAATTTCCTCCACATCACCTACTCCACATCATTCACCGTCATCAATCATTCCACGTCATCAGCCATATGGGTATTCTTTTAAAATATAAAAAAAACCGTAGCCCCCGGGAATTGAACTCACGACCAAAATGATGGATTTGCATCTTGAAACCCACTAGGCTACATTGACTTGTTTGTACAATCACACCTTTACAAGTATTTAACATCTATGTATGCAACGTATTTTGATATACGCAATTCAAATATAATTTAAAATAACTCTACATTAATTAAATAAAATGAGAAACAAAAATGACAACGGCTGGACTAATTCATCCCATATTTAATAAAAAAATCTTATATTACTAATGCATAAACGTGTAAAAATATAAATTCCATGACAAAAAAAAATCCAACACTGAAATACATTTTTTTACAATCACAATATAAGTATTTTACAATTATATTGACATTTATTTGACATATACTACATACTATATATTTAAGCACATGACATCACCAACTTAATTCATATATTAATCGTTCCTTTAGAGATATATTAGTCATTCTTCAAACAATTAAAGAATATGATAACATAACATTAAAAGAAGAATATGATAAATACTTAATTTGAGATATACAATTAAAAAATAAAAGCTCAATTAAAAATTATAACAAAAACGTAATTTGATATATGCTATACAAGAATAACTTAAAATAAATCTACTCTAAATAAAATAAAAAATAAAAATGTCAATATAGGCTCAAATCCATCTCAGACTTGTGAAATACTTATATTATGATTGTAAAAAAAATTGTATTTCAGTGTTGGATTTTTTTAAATTTTTGTCATGGAATTTATATTTTTACACGTTTACGCATTAGTAATATAAGATTTTTTTATTAAATATGGGATGAATTAGTCCAGCCGTTGTCATTTTTGTTTCTCATTTTATTTAATTAATGTAGAGTTATTTTAAATTATATTTGAATTGCGTATATCAAAATACGTTGCATACATAGATGTTAAATACTTGTAAAGGTGTGATTGTGCCAACAAGTCAATGTAGCCTAGTGGGTTCCAAGATGCAAATCCACCATTTTGGTCGTGAGTTCAATTCCCGGGGGCTACGGATTTTTTTTTTATTTTAAAAGAATACCCATATGGCTGATGATGTGGAATGATTGATGACGTGGAATGATGTGGAGTAGGTGATGTGGCGGAAATTGGATGACAAGGAAAAAACTACCCTCATTTGGTAAATAAGTTTAAAAGTACCCTCCTTTGAGAAATAAGATTGGAGACTACCCTCCTTTGGGAAAAAACTCATTGAATTTATTTTGACGCACCATGACAAAGTCCACGTCACTTTTGAAAAAACAAAATACTTTGTAGATGTAATATTGTATCTATAATGAAGAGTTGGATGTTGTTTTTGAAGATTAAAGATGAAAGGAGGTAAAAGAGAAGCGTATTTGGAGCTTTTGGTTCAAAAATGTTGGTAAACATGACTGGGTTTTCAGTCACTTTTGGAGCTTTTTAAGATTTCTTGTACATTTTTAGTTGCGTGTTAAGTGACTAGGACACAAAACTATAGTAACTATTAGTCATATTTTTGTAAATAAGTTTCATTTTGGTAATATTTTTGAAAAACTCTTTTGTATTATTTGTATGGTTGATGGATAGTGGTGTGAAACTGTGGGGATTGATTAGTTATAAATTCTATGTATTGATAGAGAGAGTCATGCTCCTTTTGAAAGCTTCTGGTTGGAATCGTCCTGCGGAATTCTCCATTTGAAGTGCTTTCAGATAGAAATTTTATGGAATTTTTGTGAGCTCTTCACGGAGTGTTAATTATGTCCACGAAATTTCAACTTAAAATTCAATTAGAAAGTTAGTTAAATAAGTTCTTGGAAAGCCTTGCGTTTTTCATAGAGCTGTAATTCTACAACAAATGAATAATGGAGCATATAAATCAGAGGCGGAGGTAGGGGTGGGCCAGCCTTGGCCCTGACCCAGCCCAAATTTTAAAATTGTCTAAATTTTTAGTGTAAAAATTCCGTGTAATTTTTTTCTCAAAAATATTCTTTGTATCGGCCCAGTTTGACCCAGCGCCGTGGCAATGCCCCTGATATAAATGAGAGGAGCAGCAAAGATAGCAAGATGAACATTAATGGCTTATGGCCGACTTTGAAGTGCATTGCACCACATAGATACACCAATTTTAAGCTCCTTCAATATCCAACATATTTCATCAAAGAACAAACTATGACCTCCTTTGTTCCTAAATAAACATCTCATTTTCCTTTTTGATTCGTCCCTTAAAAAAAACCACTTTCCTTATTTGGTAAACAAAAAAATGCAAAATAGTGTCAAACAGTGCATATGGTGATATTGATGAAGCCAGAGATTTTGGATAAAATAATACACCTGTAACATCACAATTATCATCAATGAACTCATTATATTTTTTATCAATCAAAGCAAATTCTGAAAATATACTCAAATAACATTATTTAATTATTATCTAAATAACCATGCCATTTTTTTTAAATAAAAAACTTAAGCCGGGATGGAGGTAATATATCTCTAATGATGACCATATATGTACTTCTAATACAATTTTGAGAAATTGCCTAATATAGAAGTAAACATAAACATAATTGCACAAATAGGAGTTAAACTTAAAACTTCATTCAATAGGTGTAAACATTAATTTTCTACCTTTAATACCCCTAACCTAATTTATTCTAAAGTATGACTTATTTGATCCTATTAAAATATAAAAATAAATTAAAATATTTCAATAATCAAAATTTTAAAAATATAACTTTAAAAAAAATAAAACACAAAAAAGTAAAAAAAAGGAGGCCTTTCTAGCAGCCTCGGTCAACACCTAACAATGCTACCTCCAATCGGCGAAAAATGCCATTTTATGTAAAAACTATCATTTTCCTTTCAAAATGCCATAAAGATGTCATTTTTACTTTTTGAAAATGCCAAATTTTCTCAAAAAATGTCATCATGATGACATTTTTAATAAACATTGATATTTTTCCGGTGGACGGAGCTGGTGGTACTGGGAGGTTGTTGAGGCTGCAGAAAGGGGCATGCATATTCTTTATTTTCTTTTTTTTAGTTTTTTATTTAATATTTTATTTATTTTAATAATTTTTTATTTTATTAATTTTATTTCATATGGAATATATATGATTTACTATGTATTTTCGTGTTGTGATTGTTTTACAATTTTATTATAAATTAATTAATGTTATTTCTTTTATATTTTAATTATTTATGGAAGATGTTGAGGCTTGGGGCTTGAGTTGGGGTATATTTGTCTAAACATTAAAGTTACTCATATTCAAAATATGATACTCCTATTTTTGTATTTTGCTTATCTTTTAGTCCTATCTGGGGTATTCACCCTACAATTTTCATCATGTTTTAATTTTTATACAATAAGTATGTATATTCAGATTATTAATGAAATGAATTGCTTTTAGAAATAAAATAGAAGCTATTTGATAACACTAAGAATGGGTTGAATTGGTTATAATTTGTGAAATACTTACAAAAGCAATTGAACTGATTGAATATCTTGATTTATGAAAAACATTAAAACATACTTTATCACCAAACAAAATAAAAAATGAATTATATGAAAAATAGCTAAAATAGTCACCTTTCACAAATTCTTACAAATTAATCACGAGTAACTTCAATCTTACTTATTTTGATTATTACATTAAAAGATAAATAATTTTATAAAATAAGCGGTCGAGAAGATTTATAAGGTGAAGACATGAGTTACCAAACCAACTATAAACTTCATTCGTCACTCGTGCAACTCACGGGTCAATTGATTAGTTATTAATTTATTATTGTTGTTGTTATTGTTATATGTTTACACTTAGATAGGCATACACAAATGAATCTTCATGTGAGGTCGACATAAGTAGGACAGCCGTCCGGCCGAGCCTGTTTGAGGGTCTTCTCGGTGAATTTTTTAATCAGTTTTTTTTAGCATGTTTTCATCAAGTCTAGTTTATACCTACCAAGTTTCAACTAAAAATTCAATCGAGAAGACAATTAAATAAAGATTGCTCTTAAATAATTTATTTAACTTCCTTCCCGATTAAGTTTTAAGCTGAAATTTGATGAACATAAATTAAACTTGACAAAAACCATGTTTAAAATTTTATCCTTTTTATTTATCATTTTTAGGTATATTCATCTTTTTTATATTATCTTTTTTATTATATATTATCTTTTTTATCTTTATTTTCTTTGTTTTTTTTTGTGGTGATACCATATATCGATTCATGTTAGCCGTTCTCAACATTTGTGACTAAGGCTTGAATATTATTTCACACCGTCACATACACATTCATAGACATTCAACAGAAACATATCCATGAGTTGACCAAGTCTTAGATAAGATATGAGCAAGTAGGAAGTGGCCATGCCCGTTGACTCCATTTTAAACGACTTGACTTGGTAGTGCGTCTACTGCTGCTGCTGGAGGTGGAAAATGCACGAAACAGACACATAAAGATGAGAAGAGCTTTGGCTAATTAACTGAACGAACTGCTACCAAATGGCAGAGAATTACTGGAAGAGGGTAAGCATGGGTCGGTTGATTTTATGGTCCATTCTAATCGCTAGCTGCTTGCTGGTGATATTAATATCCTCTGTCACCTCCAGTAAATGCATTGATGGGGAGAAACAAGTACTTCTCGAGTTTAAGCTCAACGTTCCTGACGATCTACGCTCTTGGGGGAACCCTAATGAAGATTGTTGCCGCGATTGGGATGGAGTTCGGTGTGATGAGCGTACTGGTCATGTCATCCAGATTGATCTTCAAGGTAAGTATCTGTCCGCCAAGGTTAGATATTCTAGCATTCCATTCATTGATGAGCTCCCCTACTTGAAGTATTTGAATCTTATTGATAACCCCGGGTTGCTCGCACCCCAGAATATCTCATCCTTGATTGGGAATCGCAATAATCGTAGCTCTGCTATAGTTTCCCTTCAACATCTGAAACTTGGAAACAATGCAATTGTTGGCAGCATTCCTGAAGATTTTGGAAACACCATGCCATCCCTCAGGCACCTTGATCTCAGCTGGAATAGGTTACAAGGTTCTATTCCTGAAGATTTTGGACACAGAATGCTTGCTCTCACGCACCTTGATCTCAGCTCGAATAGTTTAGGAGGTTACATTCCCAAAAAATTTGGAAACAACATGCTTGCCCTCACGCACCTTGATCTCAGCAAAAATAGCTTACAAGGTTCCATCCCTGAAACACTTGGAAAGATGGTTAAGATGACTTCCCTTGACCTGCACATGAATTGGTTGGAAGGTCACATTCCTGAAGCTCTCGGGAATATGTCTGCCCTTGAAGCTCTTAATCTTGGCAGGAATAGACTCATAGGAGAAATCCCGAAATCCATTTGGAACATATGCACTCTGCGAAACCTGACCATGGATTCCAATCGTCTTAGCGGAAGCTTAACAATATCGACATTATGCCTGAATCACCCTCTGCAGCAGCTATATTTACATCGCAACCAAATCACAGGGTTATTTCCTGATCTTACCATTTTCCCTTCTTTGGCCATATTATCTCTTGCATATAACCTCCTAGATGGGGTCATTTCCGAACATCACTTTGTTACTCTATCCAAACTACGCCACCTGGGTTTATCTTTTAACAACTTCACTTTTAATGTCACCCCTGCTTGGCTTCCTCCTTTCCGATTGGAAACGATAGCCCTTAGGTCTTGCAAGTTGGGCCCCAAGTTTCCTAATTGGCTTAGAACTCAATTCAATTATAGACGGCTTGACATTTCCAATAGCGGCATCTCAGATTCAATTCCCTCCTGGTTTTGGAATACAACTAAGTTTATGAGTGTTAATGCTTCTCATAACGAAATCACGGGAACATTTGGAAATGGTGGTCAAGCATCAATCAACGGCAATGAACTAGATATGAGTTTCAATAAACTAGAAGGTGCCATTCCAATCTTTTTTTTCAATGTGAAAGCACTGTACCTTTCTCAGAATAAGTTCACTGACCTGAACTCCCTATGTGACGTTAAGGCAGCAGCTGGTTTGAAGGTATTGGATATCTCGTTCAATCAACTTTCAGGAACACTTCCAGATTGTTGGTTAAGTCTCCATAGTCTGGAAGTTCTCAACTTGGCAAACAATGACAATCTATCAGGGAGTCTTCCAACTTCCATTGGATTATTAGCTTCCCTGAAGGCATTGCATCTTGACCATAACAATTTTACAGGCACTCTACCTCCATCCATGAAAAACTGCTCCAACTTGGTAGCTTTACACATGGGACACAATAACCTATTTGGACCAATACCAGATTGGGTGGGTGAAAATCCAAAACAGCTGGCAATACTTGTGCTAAGATCCAACCACTTCAATGCAAGTGTACCCACAAGTCTGTGCCGTCTCCAATCTCTTCAACTGTTGGACCTGTCCTTGAACCACATCTCAGGGACTCTTCCTAAATGTCTTTCTAATCTCACTAAAATGGCTGTCCATGAACAAAATCCCAGTGCCAGCATTTCTTATTCCATAGCAGGTAAATCCCATGGTATTGATGAAGCCTTTAGCCCAGATGACGAAATAATAGATGTTGTGTGGAAAGGTAAGGTCACTGAATTCCGAAGTACATTAAAACTCGTAAAGAGTATTGATCTATCATCCAACATGTTGAATGGGGAAGTTCCTACTGAAATCTCATTGCTTGTTGGGTTGGTTTCTTTGAACTTATCTCGAAACAACCTAATGGGACAGATTCCTTTAAGGATTGGTAACTTGGCAAACTTAGACTCTCTTGATTTGTCTAATAACCATTTATCTGGTTCCATTCCTCAAAGCCTTGGCCTAATTCATGGCATAAGTGTTCTCAATGTGTCCAACAATAACTTATCAGGAAAAATTCCGAAAGGCACACAACTTCAGAGCTTTAATGCAAGTGCATACGTAGGGAATCCCGAGCTATGTGGAGATCCACTCCCGAACAGCTGTCCAGGAGAGGAAAAAACTCATCGTTCTCCACCTCGATTCAGTGAAAAAGAAGAAGATGGTGCTTCTAATAGAGACGAAACGAATACGATTTTTGGTGGTGAGTTTTATGCAAGCATGGTGATCGGATATGCGGTTGGATTTTTGGGAGTTGTTGGGACAATACTATTCAGCAGGTCATGTAGGTTTGCATATTTCAAAGTCCTTCAGGATGTTGCTAATTGGGCTTATGTTGTGGCTGCAATCCATAAGGCAAAGTTTGTGAGAAGAATTGGGGGTTAACAGGTCAGGCTAAATAATGGTGTCACTTTCAGAATATTTCAACTCCATTTTCAGTTTTCCATATGTTGTTTTTCATTTTTTATTTGATTGTTCATCATTGAGATTGGTTTTTCATGATGTTCTTTCAAGTTTGACTTTAATATTGCTTTTCTGTAGTTTACATTTATGTGGAGTATCGAGAAGTTTTGACTCTTTTATTCTAGACTTCTAGTCCACTGTGATTAAAATCTTTTCATTCCAACTGTAAGATAACACTTTTTCTAGTGGCATTTCCAGATCAGGGATCTGCACTGGTTCTCCCTGAAGGCCTAGTGGCGATGCGGCGGGGAGGGGTGGCGTTCGTGCTGATAAGGCACAATGGCTGTAGATAAAGTGGTGGTGATGTTGGATGAGGCGGCAGGTAGCACGGCACGGCGCCATTGGCGCCAGTCGTGGCAGCAAAGATGACGGCAGTCTAGTGCCAGACGGCTGCGCCATCGTATGTTATTTGTCTCTCTCATATGTGAAGTTTGATTTTATTATTATTTTTTGATATTATTAATAAAAAAGTAATTTTTTTTAATTAATGGTGTTCTTGTCGCTTACTACTAGATTTTCACCCGTGCGTTGCATGGTATGCATTATCTATTTATCAAATGTTGTAAATGCTTATATGAGTATTATTGTAATCATTAGAAAATATCATACAACTCTTAGTAAAGAACAAATAAAGCACTACTGATTGACCAGCCATCATAGTGACTTTTAATTGACTTGGGCACATATGAAGTAATGAAGCTATTAGTCTATTACTCTGAGAATACAATTATACGAATACACATGGTCCACATGGATGAAAAACTGATGGTAAAAAAACATTACCCTTTTCAATCCTTGTTAGAGACTTTTTAAGAATTTGATCTCTTGAAAGAGCTCACAACATGATTTAGATGAAGGTGTTGAATTTGAGTTCAAAAGTGTCTTTATATTTGAGGTAATAAACCTAAGACTCATAAATGGTGTCTTTAAAGGTGCAATAATAGATATGAAGTTTAAATAAGAAATTGTGCTTCTCTTCATCAAGATTCTCAACTACTTAGGATAATGAATCTTAATAATAGAGTTTATGGAACCATATTTTCCTACTTTGGGTGATTATTTACTGGTGTGGCAAGTATTGGTTCCCCATTATCAATATCTCCTAAAAAATATTCGCCGTCTATAAAATTGAATTTCGTGTATATAGAAAAGTGATTTTCGTGTGTGCTGTGTGTAAAGTGTGAAGGAACTCGTGAGCTTGCTATGTATTAAACTTTTATTTCTAGTTCATTAGAGCTGAAGCAATTCGAGTAGAGCTATAAGAGATGTTAGGGTTGACTAATTGGCAGTTGGAGATGTGGTTTTGTCACCCCAGAGTGGTAAAGGAACGTATGCTTATCTTTGGCATTAAGTCACAGTTGGGAGAGACTCTAAGGAAAGATGCACATATTGTTGGTGTGAAGTCTGATGAACTTGTTTGGTTTTGGTGCCTCTATTGATACTTTTATTCTTTTACTACAGAGTTCTTTTCTTTAGTGCTTCTTTTGCTAATTGTGTTCAGTAAATTTATATCTTTTAATTAGAAACAACAAAAGACTGGAATTGAAGACTCTTAGATCTTTTGGTGCAGGAGAAAGTGAAGAGAACAATGAAACCAGCTTTTCCCAAGCAAGACTTCCCTGACAATGAAAAGAAAACATACCCTGCAAGTGTGGTTTTAAATGATAGCTCGGAAGAATAAGTAAGCTTGTTAAGGGCCAAACTGGAAGAGAAGGAAAAAGAACTTGCAAACGTTTACAGAGAAAACTAGAACCTGAACCAAAGAATGAACGAAAAGGCTATGGAGGCATCATCAGCCAAGGTAAAGGAATAAGAAACTACTCTCCACGTAAGAAAAAAAAGAAACTACTCTCCATTTGAAGCAGGCTAAAGAAGAGCTGGCATCAAAATGTTTGGCGAGCTCTGGAGAAAGAAGAGCCAGAAATAATAAGGGTATTATATCTGGTTTTTGTTTCCTTGTTTTTCTTTTCTATCTGTTGCAATTAAACTTGACTTTGGTCAGTTTCCACTGTAAATAGGCATGACAATTTAGCCAAACACTATTTTTCAAGTCAAAATTGTTCATTTTGACTGATTATATATTTATACACGGTAATATCGATAGAATGAAAATTATATGAAAATATTCTTTATTAAAAAATACTATCATAAAAGTATAAGTTTATTAAGTTTCACATAAATATATTAGCAAAAAAGATCAGGTCCCTCCGGAGAGACGGGAGGGACCGTCGGGCCAAGGCCATCAGAGGCCCTTCCCGGTGGAATTTTTTGATGAAAGTTTTTGAGCATGTTCCTCATCAAGTCTAGTTTATCCATACCAATTTTCGGCTAAAAATTCAACCGGGAAGGCACTCAAATGATTTTTGGAAGATAACTGCGTTTTATATGTATATAAACTGCGCAGTTAACTTCCGAAAATCATTTGACTGCCTTCCGGATTGAATTTTTAGCTGAAATTTGGTACGGATAAACTAGACTTCATGAAGAACATACTCAAAAAATTTCAGCAAAAAATTCCACCGGGAAGGGCCCCAAATGGCGACAGCCAGACGGCGGGTCCTGTCCCTCCGGCTGGACAGGATCCGCTCTCAATATATTAGTTAAAATAATGAATCAAATTTAATTTGACTGGAAAAGTCAAAGATGGCTAAATAAAAAGGGACGGAGGTAGTATTAGATTAGAGTCATTAAACATATAGTTGTTGTTATATATGCGGGTGTATATTCATACATGATGGTGATAAGTTTTAACTATATTTTTAGTTTTACTTGTGCTTCTACTTTTTCTACATGTGCCTTGCTTTATACTAGTATATTTTAATTGTGCTTATTTTTTATTCAACTTGTAGGTATACTACGTTCAAAATCCATCATCCATGATGTTGTGACTTGTGAGAACACTGGGCATCATTTTCTGGAAAACTACGGACATTTTATAGTAATTGTATTGGATGTTATTTGTGTGTCTTCGAATTATATGGCATTTTGGATGAGTATGGTTGGTAGAATATGATATTATGTGGGAACATTGTTTTTTTTTTGTAAAACTCATATAGTTTTGGTTCGTTCTGCTATAAAGACCGCTGGAGGGGCTCTCCTCTAGGTTGGTTAGTTTTGTTAGTTTATGTTTTATTTTTTCTATGAGCATATTTTCTTTGCTTAAACTTTTCAACAACGTTAGTACACCGAATCCTACCTTTTTTTGTTTCACGGGATTTAATTTCAGTTTCTTACGGTTAGTTGATTTAATAGTTTTAGTGTTGAATACGAAGTGAGTCTAAGAATACTAATCTATATCTATATATTATTAAGGATGTTTTTACTTGGACTGTAATTTGTCCCAGACCAGACCAGACCAGTCCAGACCAGACCAGACCAGTTCAGACCAGACCAGACCAGACCAGACTTGGATAGTTATAAAAATACAAAGAAACCAGACCTTACCAGACCAGACCAGACCAGACCAGACCAGACCAGATCAGACCAGACCAGACCAGACCAGACCAGCAAATTACAGTCCAAGTAAAAACATCCTAACTCAACTAAGTGAGTCTCCCTCCTAAACTTTAGGTCATTTAAGTAAATTCCTCCGGAATCACTTATCCCTTAATCGGCCCCTGCTACTCCTCCGTTTTCTCATCTTTTTCTTTTTCTTTAGGTTTCAGAAGTTCTCGGCTCTCCTCCTTGACATGTGTTTTTCATTCTTCCAATACTTAAGCTGCCTCCATCTCTCCTCTTCTTCAGCCGCACCCGAGAACCTGCCTACACCATGCAACCCCCAACCGTGATGTCAAGCAATTCACAAAGAGGCGCATTTGGTGGTTCCAAATGAAGGTTAAAAGGAAAAATCAGCAATTTTCTTCTTTGATTCCATATTCAGTTTGGTTCTGTTTTTCTATAATGACCTTTTCTTTTGTTTTCTCTTGATATCTATGTAGTTACAATACTTTGGTTTTCTTTTCCTTTTTGGCAACGTGATCATTTTTTAACCTTACATTCTCTTTAGTTAGGATTTGATAGTCCGAGATGATTTTAGTTTTAAATGAGGTTAAACAAGACATGAAACTGGTAATGCTAAATGTGAAAAGCTTTTCAACTATGCACCTCTATACTATGTTATCCATAAACATAGGAGATCAGAACTTTTAAAGTCATATGAATTGAAAACTACTCCAGAAAATATGTTTGTTATCTGTAAGTAGGGTTTGACCTTTTTAGGCTTTTTTCCCCCACAAAGTGCATACGACTTCTGCTTTGTACCGTTGATTCATTTTAAATTTGGCTGTCAACTACTTATACTAAAGTCTTTATAAGCTTTTGTGCAAAGTATGACGGATTAGCGTCAAGTATTATTTATAACTCATATTTAGTAATGTCTCTCTTACATCTAACTTAATTCTCAATGTATTTATAACTCTCTTCTGTTTCTGGATCACTGGATGTCATTTAACATTTTATTGATATATTTTTACTATTAGTTCAACTATATAGAAAGCTTGGTCCCAATTTAAGTAAAAACATTTCTTTTTAGAATGGATTTCAAACCAATATATTTTAAAAATGATATCCTTTTAATATCTTTTTATTGAGAGGAGTGAGAGAGCAGAATATCACATAACAATGATAGTTAACTTCCTTTCAGTGTATCGATATTTATGTTATCTTTTGTACTTAAGATTTTATTTAGTATATTTACTAAACTACATTCTTTTAATAGATTCAGTTTTCTAATAAAATGAGAAAGTTAATTTGGAAAAGACATTTATTAACATGAATGGTGAAAGTGTTGTGCTGTTGAAAATGGATAATAGTTGGCAAGATCAGAGAAGGTGAACCACCCTCTCCTGAAAAACACTACTCTAAGACTCTAAGTTGCCTCTTTTCTTCTTCTTTATTTCTGGGCTAGCTACATTACACAAAAGAAGGTTTAGGATGTTTTTACTTGGAATGTAATTTGCTGGTCTGGTCTGGTCTGAACTGGTCTGGTCTGGTAAGGTCTGGTTTCTTTGTATTTTTATAACTATCCAAGTCTGGTCTGGTCTGGTCTGGTCTGGTCTGGTCTGGGACAAATTACAGTCCAAGTAAAAACATCCTTAGACTTAGGATCTAACATAGGAAAGGAATAAGTTACTTATTACTTACATGTTATGCTGCTTTTTTTGAAAACTATTTACAAACGAAGGTGGGATCTGGGTTGTAGCGGATTCTAAACATTCATTTCATCATCTAAACCTTTTGTTAAGGTGAGAAACATGCTCTCTAATTTGACCTTTTTAACATTATCCATTTTAGCATTTTTGTGAGAATCAAAACTTAAATAACTATGAGTCAGACCAAACAACATCACAAACTTGAAGATTGATAATTAATCACAACCCAATCCTAATTAACTTTTTTTTTTTACCAAAAAGAAACTTTTATTAATAAAAAGAAAAACGCCCATCGGCTACAAACAAAAGGTGCCCTTAGGCTAAAATGAAATAAAAAAGGAGAATAACAAGATAAGTAGATTGGTTCGGATTGAACATGGGCCGAAAGAGCTCCGAATTGGATGGGTCCCAGACTGATCCAACATAAAGCAAACAAAAAGGAATGTTTGCCGGTAGGGTTTGTTTTTCTGTGTGACTTTGAGAGAGAAAGCACGAGAGATATGAATGTACATCAGCTTGATTGGGAGCAAATTAGAAGTGTGATTTTCTGCTTGATGATATGAATGTCATCAATTTTTTTCTAATTTTATGTGAAACTGAAATGGTTTTAACTTGTGAGCCTTTTTTGAACATATCTTTAACATACTATTAAAAAAGTGGATAATCAATGCACTTATGCACACCATAATTGTTTTCATGTAACCTTCACAATTGCTTATAATACAATCATATCCATGAATCTCTATTCTTTAATTTGAAATAATTTGATTAATTGATAACATAAAATGAATAGGTATATGTTTTGAAACAACATATACCTAGAAAGGCACAAAGAATCATCACGGTGAACGTTCAACAAAGAAGCAATCACATTACATTGGAGACCTTATGAGCAAGGTCACCTGATCTAATTTTCAAGGCTCTTTTAATTTTTGTTGTAATAATATTAGGCTCATTTTGTAATATGGTTTTGCCAACAACTATCATTAGATCAATATTAAAAGTAGAACATAGATAAGTAGATTTACTCTGGAGCCTTGATGTTATGTTATTATTTTTGTTATATCTATCCTATGATGATAGATAACATGTTTTCGTATACTTATAAGCTTACCAAAAGTACTTTCTATAAGCACGGGTAACCATATTTTTCTTCTTAAATTTTGTTAAATTTAACAAAAAAAATCCCATCATTTATAATGATTTTTTAGTTGTTCATTTATCCTTTTCTTTTTGAAAGGTAGCATTAAGCTACTGCAGTGGTCATGATGCTTTTACTATGATTAGTAATTTGGTTAGTTTTTAAGTAAATGGTGAATATTACTTTATGTTGTTTTAGATTATGGTGCGAAAGAAGTCAAGAGGTTTTCTTTGTGCACATATGACATATGGTTACTCTACCTCTCTGGAAGAATCTGAGGTCTGATTTGATTAGAATTCAATCCTTCAAGTTTAAGTCAAGTGACATAGGAGGCATCTCTACTTCAAAATACCAAGTGTTCACATGAAATAATGTAACAGTCAATTTATTGAGGGACATGTTAAGGATGCGGGTTAACTTGGAGCTTATAGACTTGAGATGATGTGGGGTTGCACCAAATAACATGTCAGTAGCTCCAAATCCTCCAATCTTCATTAATATCTATATCAGGACATTATATCTCACACTTCTATCCATTGTTGGTTCAACTTGATAGGTACCTTCCTCTCTTGGAGACTGGGAAAGCAAAAAAAAAAAAAAAAAAAAATTAACCAAACCGGAGGCCCGGCCCGGACCCGGTGGCTACCCGGGCCGGTCCCGGGCCTTCCTTCCCAAAAAAAAGCCCGGCCGGGCCCGGCCCGGATCAATGACTAGATGTTATCAGATCACAAGGTACTTGACAATAGACTTGTTAGGAACTTGATGTAACATACCTTGTAAGTACGTCATCGGAAGTTTAAATTTTTCCCAAACAGATCATCCCTAATTATGACAAAACAACGCATATAACAATAATAACAGATCTGAGTTAGAACTTACAGATCTTCCAGCCTAGTGGTGATAATCTTTGACCTTAGCTATCCACGCGATTTCTCTTTTCCGAAAGAACGGTTAGATCTCTCATAGAGAAAGGCTAGGAAATCTCTTCGCAGGCAAATAAACTAGTAATACTGAATCTAAAATTGGTCTATAAATTATGAAGGAGGAATGTGTATTTATACTAGTTCTAAACTAGTTTCCCAATCTTAACTAAAGTCTCGCTCATTAATAACTTATAGTCCTATCAAGACCAATACTCCTTATTAATGATTTAATTAAATAAAGAAAACAAAACAAACTAACATTAAGAGTGAAGTGGCTGGGACGCCACTTTCACTCATTATTATTATTTGTTATAATTTCTCTTTTCTTTGTAATTCTAAATCACAAAAGAAAAACCAAATTTATTTAATTAAAAATATATCTTAATTAAGTATAATAAATCTAATTTATTACCCTTCATTAATTCTATCAAATAGAATTCTCCTTCAACATTATGAATTAAATATATTAATCTAATTAATATTTAACTCATCTTATTTTCAGCATTATGAATTGAATATCATTTAATCCAATCAATAATATTTAATTCCTTCTTACAATTCAATCGAAAGGTATAATCACCTGTTGTGTGACCCATATGACCTTATATATTAAGCACTAATCAAATCAAGGTCTTACTAGAATCCCTAGACTATTTACCAGACAAACTTAATATATAAAGACGTTTGTGAGGACTATTCAAACTCCCTGTAATATAGAGCTCATAGTAACACGGTCCTTTCATTCAACGAACATTCAACTAAGTCTAGAACATGATATTGTGTCTATTCCAATAACTTAGTTTCTGTCTCTCAATCTTTCTAGATGATCCATAATGATCATATTAGATATCCAAAACGAATATATCTTTGCATTGGCCAATGACTTTATGATCCATCTAGATATGAGAAGTAGAATGTTCTCTCTTAATCTATTACGAGGAATGAATCCTTTCTTGGCTCAACTACTATTCCATGTGCTTCGTGATGCACCCAACACATGCCGTATCTACTCCGATTGGAGTGCAAACGTTGGTCATGGTCAAAGTACATCACTCCGCACATGTAGTACGTATTGACCTCAAGTCGAAGGACTATTACACTACCCTATACACTGATAATCCCATAGACACATGAATAAAACTTATCAAATGGTTTCTCGGTGGATATGCCAATATCTTCTAAAATATCTATGTGACCATCATGAATTACAGGAACTCATAGTTGTGAGATCAACTATACTTTCTAAAAGTATGATGCAGTCCACATACCACTCTTATCGCATATCATCAATATCCCTTTCTTGATGATCATTGATTGGGACTATTTTAGGACCTTATGTTATATCATATAAGCTCTCACTTACTTATTGACAACATAAGTCCAAGAGAACACATTTGTGAATAAGATATTGACAATCGAAATACTTAATCATTAATGTGTAATACCGTATATATCAAATATATAAAAATGCATGTGATCAAGTACATATATCTCTAAAAGTGATTGTCGCTAGGACATACTCCCTCCGTTCTCTTTTAATTGCAACAGTCAACATTTCACGTTTGCCAACGCACAAGTTTGACCATTAATATCTTTCGTTCCTTATAAGTAAAAAATTTAAAAAATTCATATTTTGAAAATTTAGAATGAGAAGAATTTAAAAATATTTTTTTAAAATTTAATTTATAATACATTAATTAATAAAATGTAGTCAAAGTAGAATATGTGAATAGTGCAAAAAGTCCAATGTTGCAATTAAAAGAGAACGGAGGTAGTATATATATACTAACAAGACTCGCTATCTACCAGCTTGTAATTAAAGTTTGTGTTGGAGTGTGGGGACTTCAGGGATGATGTGTCATCATCTTCTGCACAAACAGACCTC